TTGTATATGCTTTATTTTATCGGAGTATTTATATTATTATTCGACAAGCCTTTAATTTAACTGGCTTAAAACCTATCCATTAATTGTTGCAACTGTCAACTCATGATTTTAAATACCGATACAAATTACTTGAAAGCATATGTTTGTAGATTTTCGTCCGTGTATTCTGAGCATTCACTGCTTAGTTCCCGTTTGAAAATGTCCGACAACAATTCCGATTACTTCTCCATGGACGTTTCCTGGGCCCGTTGTTTGCGGTTTACTCGACCATGCAGTAATAATAAAAAAAATATCACAGGCAGAAGCTGTATACGATTTGCTTCTTATTAGTGAGTTTTGTGTGCCATCCAGAAGTTATGGGCTAATGAAGAAGTCTCGCACAGCATCACTTTGCGTAAAGGAATTAGTGCTGTTACTGTAGGCTTAATGGCAAAAGGCGTTTAAGATCCAGTACAATCCCAATAATAATTCAGACCAAAAAATCGTTTTCTTACACAGCCCACCTCACACCCCCTTACTTCCCTCTCCCTCTCCCGCGGGCCTAGGTCACTTGCGGCTGACTCCTGCCTCCTGTTTTTGTAAGGGTAGTGCCTTTAAGTGATAGACACACTGTAAATTCAAAAGATCGGTTTCAGTACCAAGGTCCTAGTTTAGCCCAGACTATATCATATCATTACTTGTTTTGAAAGCTAACCGTAAACGTGCTAAGCGGAGTTCCACTTGAGTGCCTTCTGGTTAGCTTACTTGCCAGAATTGCAAAAAAGTAACGGTAACTCGATTCATACTCAAATGATCACCTCTTTCCAATTATCCGTTACATACTGAAGTTATTTTAAACTCTAAACTTGAGTAGATATTTTGTAATGAACATAAAGAAAACAAGAAGCTTAGAGAGCCGAGGACCGAGCTTTGGTACAGCACAGTGAAAACTTCGAGAAAAGCCGAACGCAATTCACCTGGAATTAGAAGTCCAAGGTTTGCGTCAATGGAAGCTAGTGATAGTGGCTCGCCAGAATTTTGAAAATGACATCATTTGTTGATGTTCTCAGCCTCGTCCCCAGGGCACTTGTCCCTTCAAACATTCAATCGAGGGAAAAGCGCCCTGGGTACGAGTTTGGATGAATTTGTATGTCCAGACAGATTCTGTGTGTGTAAAAATTTAATTTTCTTAATTTTCTGTGTGTGTAAAAGTCTAATTTTATTTTAAAAATTTAATTTGTAAAATTTTTAATTTTTTAAATAAAAATTTTCGTTGAAACAATAAATTTGAACAGATGAATGGGACCCAAAGAAATTAATTCCTTTCTAAAAAGAGAAACTGTATTCGTAAAACCAAGAAGTCGTAGTAACCGTAATATCCAGCTCTTATACTTAAACAAGACTGAGCTATAGTCCTTTGAAACACCGTGAAATGGCCTCAATATACCGTTACATGGCTCCTTTAATAGGCCACTTTCGATATACATGTATCAATATTCTAACATTGCTCCGAGGCTTTCTGGACAAACTTCTATATCTGGTGTTGTTTTGTTTGTATCCAAGTATCTTTTGGGAATTGAGAGACGAGAAACTTAAAAACATACAATAGACCCTTTGCACGATCCGGTCACTTGGTACGGAATTAATTATGCTGGGACGCAAGTTACGCAGTGGGACATTCAAAACAAAGGAACTCGTACCAGTCCAGCCCGACTTTTTCGTTTGTTTTGGAAGTCCCACTGCGTAACTTGCGTCCCAGCGTAATTAATTCCGTACCATGTGACCGGATCCTGCAAAGGGCCTATTTTGACCCGAAAGCCTCGGAACCAAGTTAGAATATTGGTACATCGATCGTGGCTTATTACTGTGTGGTAATCAAATCCAGAAATTTTTTAATGTTCCCACGCTTTTCACTTTCATTGCTGGCTCGTTTTTCCTGGCTTCGCTGCGCGCGCGTGAGTCTGCTTGTAGCTTAGCCGCTACCATAATCTTAATTAAAATGGGTTAATTTGTTCAGCGTGAGATAGAAAGATTTTACGTTGTTTTGAAGAATTTGCAATCGCAGTCCCAGAGCTATTGGTAAAAAGATAGACACTGTAGGTATATTCGAAGTCTGAACACTGTAAGAAGTTCAACTGAATGTTCCAACTTAGTTAAAGAATAGCATTGTTTTATGTACTGACATCTGCATGGACACAGCCCGTCCTGTGTTCGCCTTCACCCGATACGCTACACCAATATTGGTTATTCTGTAGCAGAAGGGACAGCTAAGCCTGATTTCACGTGTTTCGTGTTTACACTTACGGCAGATGACAGCCTCGCCGCTTGCGTCTTGAATGAAGAGCCCGCCACAATACTTGAGGATTCCCTGATTGGTGTCGTTCCACTCACCCAAGCATTGAACGTCATGTCTTATGTATCCACAGGGACATTTAAGAGATATCGTGTCGAAGGGCATTTATTCCTGAAGAACTGAATAATCATAATAATAGCAACTGTTAGGAAATATTGAGCAGAAAAAGTATTTCGTTTAAGATTCTATTCCTTTCATTAAAGCTGTTGAGTAGAAGAAAAAAACTCAATCCGAAGAAGTTTGACTGCTTTGAGGATGTGCGATCATGGTTTTTTGTCCCACCTCACAACCTGATTTTACCTAAACTACGTTTGCTTCCTAAGGTTTGTCGGTAGTTATGGATATTTTTTGTTAATAATGATAAGATAAAATAGCCAAAAATGGTGAAATTTGTTGAAATTGAAAGAGCGGTGAGTATCGATTACAATCGGTCATTTTTCGTTGATTAATATCGATTAAGTTAAAGAAAATCCTGGCTGAAACTCTTTACCTTCCAAAATACGCACAAAATGGTTCTCTTTAACTGAACCGTGGGATGTAGGTGGACGTGTCTGTAAGTACATAGTTTGAATGGAAAGCGTTTGGTTTTCGGTTTAGAGCACCTTGTTGCCTTGGTCTCTTTATATTAACCTGTGACGTCACTGCACGGTCAGACATCTTTAATATTTGAAACTATTTAGTTTCCACCATCCTAAATTGCTTATTGTTTAAAGACGATAAAAATCGCTAAAATCTGAACCAACTGAATTGCAAGCCGATCACGGATACTGCAACCAATCAATGATAATCTACTATAGTTATTACTGATATATAGATTGCGTCCCGATGATCAATTCAGTTTCATTTTGTGGGCACGTTGGAAATCACAGCTTGCACCGAACTCCACTTGAAAGATAACACCAATTCTTTTGTTGTCAGTTTTAATTGATAACTGACGAGATATATTACTTGATTTTTTTTACGTATTTATCAGACTTTAGTAGACTTTCTAACTCTGTTATATATATATAGATACTTTTATTATAATAGTCAGAGCTCCTTGATGTTAGGCTAGTGTTGAAACGGTTACCTTATTGAAATAAAGTTGACTTATTTAAGCTCCGCTCGAAAACATTTCGTCGAAAACTAACATAACCTGTGACTCGATCTAAAGGAATAAACAATTCTGGGTCCCGTTTCTCGAAAGCCCCGGAAACTTTTCGGGCCAGTAAAGCCATTTTTAGTCCATCTGTGTCTAAAAACGGAGAAGTGTATACGCATGAAACTTCTTGTGTGAAGGGAACTTCTCTTCATACATGTATTAAGAATATGTGAATAAAACAACTCTGTAATCATAAGGTTCGAGATTTTACTATGGCTTTACGGGCCTGAAAAGTTTCCGGGGCTTTCGAGAAACGGGTTCCTGGTGAGTTTGTTTCATTTTCCACTCAAGTGTCTCTTTCGCTTGGAATCGTTGATATCTACCATAAAATTAAAAAACTGAATTTAAAAACCTTATCAAATCAAGAAAATTAGAGACGGAAATTTCGGAACGAAGTCAGATGCCGCGAAAATTTTACATAATGCTGGGGTAACCTCTTTTAGCTGCTGTTTGGGTTTGTTAAAAAGTTAAGCCGGTAAGGTTGTCTTTTTAAGGCGCTCAAGTGTCTTGAAATGTCCGATTGACGTTTCGGCACTGTTTAGGCATTAACACCGTGAACAACACAAAAAGTTGACCGGTGTAAATCTGTGAGGATAACTTCCTCGGAATAGAAAATGAAATGGCATAGGCTACTTACACAACCTATCACACGCTTTTATGCAAACACAAGTTTAAATTTCGATTTAAAAAATATCCTATTTTGCCGATATCTGCAATTCTTTACTTTTAAGTCGAATACTGCGCACATCTTCTGTAAAATACACTACATTAGCATCAGATAAGAAGTCTCTATTCAATTCTAGGTTGTCAACCTATCGTGATTATCGTCAAGGGAAATTGAAACGGTGTTCTCTTCATCAGTGTAGGCCCGGCCCCAAATATATTTATTAGAATTTCTCTGTCGATTCTCCTCTAAGTCTTACCTTTGTTTATGTCAGTCACCGGAGAGAACACAGACAAAACTTGTACTAGTAATTGGCGCTGAAGCGTCTCAGTTGTTCCACAACACCTCCAACTTTTTTTCCAGTTTCTTTCCCTCTGGCTTTTCTCCAACTCTTCAGTGAAAGTGAAAAATAAAATATTTTTAGGGCGATCTATATGCACCTCCAGGCGGTCACGAGGTATCTGTGAACAAGCAGCCCAAAAACTACTAAGACTATCAACTTCTTATAATTTGGTGGAAATGTCAAGTAGATGGGGAAAAACACGCATTGAAAAATGAAATTTTATTAGCTGAGCCAACATGTACCAGCATCCATTGCGAGCATGATAACCACGAGGGTGAGGGGTGGTTACAAAGTATTCCCAATCGTGTTCGTTGTTGTGCCATTTTACATGTCGTGGCATGGAATAAATTTAGCGCTGTTGTAATGTCTTGTGACTTGAGGAATCGGACGATCGATAATTAAACTGGTGTTTTCAGTATGAATTGCTACATGAAGCAAGTGCTGTTTGTCTTAGCTGTATCGTTCGTGCTTTGGCAAGGTGGGTAGTTATTTTTGTGCATGATTTTCTGTGTGTGGTTGTATTTGGACACAACTCTCGTTTACTCGACGTTTGAATTTCTTAAGCTTAAATTTATTGGAGCAAAATCGAGGAGTGACATTATAAAATAGAAGAATTTGTCCGAAATAGTTTTTCCAATTTCTCAGATTGTAATAATTTAAAATTTACTTCTCGTATAATTGAAGATTATTTGTTTGGAAAGAGCATTTCCTTCACAATTGTCGCTTCACTCGGGCGCTCACAAAGGTCATGGAAATATGTTCGTTATATTGTAGATCGATGCAAGGAGTATAAATTGTATGTCTATTGGGGAAGATTTTCGACTATATGAACATATCAGAACACTTAAGTGTTTAAAATATAGGTAGAGGACTCTATAAACACGCATGACATGATGTAAATATTTGTATTTCCTTTGCACAGACAGTCAGATTGAGCGTACATGTATAACCTTATTTGACTGAGATATGCACAAATTAAAACATATATATACTTGATAGAAGTCACAGCATCTTTAACCATCTCTCCCACCAAAATTTATGAAGTGAGTAGCTGGTGTACCCAGGATAGGTTGATGGCAATTTTGCCTGTTGAGGGCTTAATTTGAAAGAAAGTTGTCACGTTAACTTAAGGTAATTCCTCTGAAATAAAAGTGACAATAGATTTTTGTTCAAACTTTGTCCACCGAAGATTTGTCATACGATAACTTCAATTTTGAAATAAAAAAGGGAGGTGCCCATGCTCATTAAGGAGCAGTGAGGCATTGAAAATGCCCCATTTTGGCATTAT